TGGGTGCTTCAGTGTCCACCCATCTCCCAAAGAGGTGGATTTGATTGGCTGTTCTTAATGGTCCCTTTCTCTGTTGCCCTGCAATGGAACTGCATCACACCTGAGAGTAGCCGTGTGCTCTCATTTTGTTTTTGTGCTTTATGCTTCCAGGATAGGTTTGGATTACATAAAGGTGAATTCCATGCTGAAAAAAGGAAGGATAAACACAGTGTTTCATGTGTTGAGCCTTCTTCAGGTGTGCTGGAGAGTCAAGAGCCAAAACATTGATTCTCCTTTCTATTTTTCAGCATGTAGTTCACCTTTACTTCTTTCTTTGTAGACAATGAAGGCTGACACAGCTCCCTTTTTGAGCACTGAGGCTCTGGATCACCTTGAGCTTGCCAGGAAGAGTGAATGATGATGGATGGACGTTCATCATTTTAAACTAAAACAAACTAACACAGAATAATCATTTACTTGCATAGGAAAGTGATCTCAGGAGGCACAATGGAGCAATCTCCCAATGTGATAAATGTACTCATCTGTGAAACAGTTCTGTTTATGATGATTTCGCAAAATAGGTTGTTTTTAACTTGTAATACCCGAAATGAACAACCCAGACAATTTGATCATAGGGAGATACAGACATCCTAACAGATTTGTTTTCCCCAAACTTCAGGTTAAGATCCCTTAAAGTGTAATTCAGTACCATTGGAATATCCCTGCAGTAGTAACAGTTAAGTGAACAATTTGAGATCAAGATTCGAATTTAACCCATGTGCCTGAAAGAACGAGAGGGGATGATAGCCTCAGGCCATCTATGCCAATACCAGCTGGAATGAGCCAAGAAGCTACAACAAAAGGTGCTGGCTGTTGAGGAGGGAAGGATTTGGAACAGTATCACGGGGAAAGGTGTTGGTTCAATTTATGAATAGGATATTAAACCTCAACATAAAGCCATCTATTCCCTAACCACTTTATCCAATTCAGGATCAAGCCAGAGCCTATCCTAGCAACAAGCTGGCACAAGGCAGGATACTCCCTGGATGGGAAGCCAGTCCATCACAGGGCACATGCTGTACTGACATAGACATGCACACACTGACACCAGAGCCAATCTTCCCAAAAGCCACTTAACCTACCAGCATATCCTTGGAATGTGGGAGAAATTTAGAGCACCCGGGAGAAACCCACATCACCACAGGATAGCACCCCAGGTCCAGATATTTAACCTAGGACCCCAGAGCTGCAAGGTACCAAACCCATGTGGATTAGCTAATGACTACTTGACCGGTATCAAAACTCAAGTCTGAGTTTTCAAAGTTCAGTTTATTAAGTAGTATGCAGCGGAACATAATGCATTACTTTGAAGGCATATCAACAAGGTCAGTAGCTCAAGAACAAGGTCTCATCTGGGGTTATGGGCCTAAATCTTAACCCTGTTGTTTGTAAAAGAAATATAGAAATTGTCAATCATAATTGTCTGTGCTCATACTGGCTATAGAGGTGCAGCGGTTTTAACGAAGTATCCTCAGCCCTGAAAATATGGGAATTACACCTTATTTTATTCCTTATTGCATGTATGCATACTGTATAGTATGTATGAGTTCAAAACCAGAGATAATATTATGAACATAACTATAAAATGCTATTATTAATGTTGTAGTGAAACTCTTAAAGTTGATCATTACTGAGTATTTTTTCCAGGACCTGCTCACACAAACACCTTTTTCCTGAGGTTACAAGACCTCCTGGTTATTCAGCCCTGCCTCTGGCCTGTTCATCTGTGCCATCAGAGGTGACCTTTTCAATTATGATCTAATTTCCACCAATTCTCTTAACAATATATGCTGCATTCCTGTCAGGCCACATTAGTATCACTTAAGTAGTGAGAGCTGAGCACCTGTTTGTGCATTTTTCCTATTGATTAGGAACTGAACTGAGTGGGAACTAAACTGCCCACTATCTACTGGCCAAAGCAAATCTCATAAATTACTTAGTATTGGGGGTTCATTAGGCATTGGTAGTTCAGGATCTTCACATAACACAGAAACAAGGAAATGACTATGTTATGAGCTTATGTCTCTGCAGTGGACTTCACAATTGTTTTATCATCAAACTCGCCTTTAACTAATATGACCTTATTAATATTGGCACCATTGTAGTAATTAATGTATTTGCATGTTCAAACTTTGCCTCTGAAATCTTATCTGCTCTAAACGTTAGAAAAAAACATGTCTAAGGCAGGTCTCACGGTATTATTATTAGTTCTTTATTTTGCCAGGCAAGTGAATTGAGAACAAAATCTCATTTACAACAACAACCTTGCTCAAGGGTACAAACAGCATCATTCCACCTGGGATTTGAACCCCTGACCCTCTGGTCTGGAGCCATAATAACTACACACTGCTACCCATAATGGATTATATTGTAAAGAAACTAGAAAAAGGCCCAATACCACTACAGAAGCATTAGTTATCCATTTTCCAAAAATATAATATAGATATTATATAGCTAATTGGGCAATACATGATTAAACATTATTATAGACGTTTCTAGTTCTACTATTTCTGCTACTACTGCAGCAGCAAAGTCTTGTTAATATTAATAATAATCATTGCTTCTGTGTAATAATGGAAAATCAAACATATTTAATCACTGAAAGACAATTGTTGACATCCATGACTTTTTTTTAGATTCAGTGTTAAATTTCAGAGCTTAATATACTCTAATATCCTTTTACTTTGCTATTCTCATATCACAGATCTGTTATAATGTTCCTCTACTAAACAGCATACAGCTGTGACGATAAAGAAAAAAACAACTTTTCCTTCACATACACTTATTTTAATTATAGTGTTTGTTCTCCAGAAGACAGTGGGCATCCCTATTGCATCCTTTAAACTTTGAGGGGGAATGGATCCAAAAAGTGATAATTTCATGACTACCACCTGACATAATAAAATTACAGTATATTGATTGTTAAAGTTTTGTAATATGCACTGGGACTGCAAGACATATCAATCATATTAATAAACATTCTGCATTAACTAACCTTAAGAGAAGAACGTATCCAACCAGGGCAGTCAATGTAATCTGCAAAGAAGTACACGTTGCAGTCTGTCTTTTAAACATATCCATAATTATTAAATGTCACTTATTCTACAGATTTATAACTTGTTTTGTGACATGTTAGTGCAACTCCCATATTTCAACACTCAATTCTAAATTACCAATTAAAATTATATATTCTTTTCCCATTTTTATTGGGTAATAAAAGCAGTTCTGGACCACATATAATGTTGAATTTAATAGTGTACATTTCATCATGGACATGTTAATCATCAATTTAATCTAGTCAGGTGGCATTTATTAAAAATGTTGAGCATGAAAAGATTCTGTCTAATACTTGAGTACAATAGCCCCAACCCAGATCGTTATACATAGATAAGAAATACAGATAGCAATAGCATACTGTACCATATGGATGACAACTAAACTGTTGTGCAAGGTATTTCTTAACAAATGCTGCAAAATCATGTAGTCTCATGGGTAATATATTTATGGAAATTAATATCTACTGGGCAAAGTTTGGGTACCTATAATTATTAAAAGGGTTGCACTAGCAGGATTCTGTGGTTGCTGTGAAAACTGTCTGACCTAATTTCACAGGCAATGTTACAAAAGCTGCATACCAATTTTTCCAAGCTACAGTTTTGATTCCAGCCTACATTACATTAAGATTTCCACTTCAGGCCACTCTGTCTCTCTCTTTCTCGCAATCAAGCACTCTTTTCAAGAACCAGCAGAGCTGGGCCACTGTCAACTCATAGAGTTTAGGCCACGGATGGCCATGTACTGTAGCATCTATCCATCCATCTGCAAACAGTAAGCTGCTTATTCCTAGCAGAGCCCATCTAAGAGGTATAGGCTTGTAAATCATGACTAAACCGGAGAAGGCACTCTAGTGCATCACAGGGCACATACATGCTCCAATGAACTTAGCCTGCATTTCTTTAGAAGGCAGGAAAAAACCCTAGCATCCAGCAAAAACCCAGGCACATGTAAAAACATGTAGGCACAATAGAGAAGGTTCTCTAGTCTGGAATCAAACCCAGGACCCAAGAGTTATGAGGCAACTCTGTCTAGCAAATATTTGTAAACATCAACCACAAAATCGTTATACTCTGGTTCTCAAATAAAAAACGAATCATATTAGTAAAATCAAATTTTAACTAAAAAGTCCTAAATAACACTTCTTTCCTAATGTTGAATATTAGTCTCATGCCACCTGATATTACATTTTAACAAAATTAGTCATTTTGCTGTATCTCTTATCTTCTATAATTCTAAGTGATAAAAGTGCACACTTTTTTAAATGGAATGTGTTTTTTTCTGTTTCACAAATTCCAGGGTTTACAACATTTGTAGAACCTGGGAAATCTGAGGAAAATAGCAAATCAGAGTATCAGTTTAAACTGTTAAGTGAAGAAGTAACTGCAGGGAAGCTTAATGAAATATTTTGTCACACCTCCATTGTCTGATATATTTTGGCTCGTAACAGACTTTTATGATAATACTTTACTCAGAACAAAAATGTAAGTATGCAGGAACTCATAACATGTTGTGGAGTGGTTTTCAGTAATACAGTATATCTGAAACTATACCACATCACCACATGAAAAAATGACCCTAAGGCCACAGTTCTCCATAAGAAGATAAAGTATCAAAATTCTTGTTTTTCTTAAACGTAAATGTGCCAGGTCATTTTTTAAATCTTTGTTTCAGGACAATGTTGAAGCAAAACACACATTTTTACTTTCCGAAACTATATGGAAATTAGAAGTCAAATTTCCTAGTGTTGGCAGGACTTGACTTTAAAATACTTAATGCACATTCCAAAAGCTAGAGGAGGTGTAGTCAGCTACACTATAATATGCTTCGTAGAAATTATTGTAAGAGCTGGTTTCCTAGTTTAGCATGTGCGGTCTGAACTATTTTCTGTATGATTTTCTCTTCAGGCCTGCCATATGGATGGGAAGAGGCTTATACAGCAGATGGAATCAAGTACTTTATCAAGTAAGTTCTTTGATCTGCATCTGGAAGTGAATTTAAAGATAACAGTTTAAAAATGAGAGGACTTTAGGGTCCTGTATAGAAAAGGCTCAAATGTGTGAAATGGGTCCTTTAAGTAAGCCCAATGTTCAAAGTACCAGTTTGAAATAAATTTTGGCCCCACCACAGCTTAGAGATAATTGGCTCAACAGCTGACTGGGAAATAAAGTTAAGCAGAGGTGTGGAACATAATTGACAATTGCTGAAATTGACCAGGATTTGCAGTACTTTGCTGTGATCAGTAAGGACTGCAGTAGAGCTCTCTCTGGTACCTTACACCTGCTCTTGTTACTGTAGGCTCACTGTATTATTACAATGAGAACACAGTTTTATTTTGTTTGCTTTAAACATAAAAATAAATGGGTAGCTTGTTGGAGAACATTTCACAATTTGTTATGTCGGTATACGGGTTGTGGAGGTGTGCTCAGGCTGTCAAAGATGTATGTGTTAGGCAGGTTCCTATAAAAGAAGCAGAGATGTATTTTTACTGTTTTAAAATGAAAGGTAACAAATCTTGTTAATGACTGAATCATTCCCAAGGCATGTTAAAAAAATCAAATCTTAAGTATTAAAGTTATATAGTCACACCTATCATTGAGATTTCTGCATATGACAAGATATTTAATGTTTTCTAAATATTATAACACTGAGATTTTGCTTTCAAGTATTGTCCAAAGCAAAAAGAACTGAGGTGCATTTGCTGAAAGATTTAAATTCAGGCATGTTTTATGCTCAGGTATCACATTGAAATTCCACAAATACAGTGAACTATCTTTGGTTTTAAAAAGTGCTGTTAAAGTAATCTGAAATTAGCTTTTTGAATGTGAAGAGTTCATAGCCTTATGTAAATTGGTTTGCTCTGCCTACAAGCATTTAATGCAAAAGCTTTTTGTGCCAACCTATATAGCTTAATACATCCTACCTTATACTAAAATTCATGTAATTTTCAGCAGTCTGGTAGCATTCTAAAGTATTGACTGACATGGAAATATCATGTGGATTTAGATGTATCCTATGTTTTTTAAGAACATTAGGTCTGCCATTTAAAAGCTGGCTGCCTTTTCCATTTGTTTACAAAAGTGACCTGTCATTTTGACAGGTGGAAATAATCACTTGACATTTTTAAATGACTTTGTGTAATGCCATATAATTTCAAGTTCCAAGAAAACATAAGGAAGTCTAATGTTCTTTTGTTGGAGATGACAAATTACGTTCACAAAGTGACTGCAAAGGGGATGCTAGAAGACATTTTTGTACCTTCTTGTCAACGTGTGGCAGGAAATAAATTTGTCAATGTCGTGTGAACACTAGGTGTACAGGCTTGCCTTTTGAAGTCCAATTTTGGGGAAACCCAGGTTTTTTGTGCATCTGAAGCAATTGTTAATTGCTAGAATGCTGAATTAGTATTTGTCTTGCCTTCTGCAGTCACATTGTGAGTGTAATTTGCCACCTCCAACCAAAGAACATTTACTTGGCTTGTTTTCTTGGAATTTGAAATTACTGTATATGGCACTACACAAAGTCATTCAAAAATGCCATGTCATTATGTTCACCATTTATCAAAATAAGTGGTCACTTTTGTTTTTTTGTGAAAGAGACTTTTTTTTCTTATTTTCCATTAATATTTGTTCCTTTTGGTGATGTTTCACATTGAAAAACAAATTTCTGGATGTCTATTTGGAGACTTTTAACTTCATTGTCTAGTTTTTTTTGTGGTTAGTACTGCTGCCTTGCACTTCAGTTCTGGACCTACAGTATGGTGCTATCTGCAAAGTGTTTGTATGTTCCCCCTATGTTCATGTGGGTTTCCTCTGGGCGCTCCAATTTCCCTCCAAAGGTCAAAGATATGCTGGTATGCTAATTGGCTTCTGGGAAAATTGGCATGATGTGAGTGCTTCTGTATGGGTGCCATGCAAAGGCCTGGCATCCCATCCAGGCTGTACCCTGCCTTGTACCCTGCTCAGAAATAACATTGCCCCTAATAGCCAATCCTACATAAGTAAAATGAGCAATAAGTGAAATGGACAATTGACATTTAATGTTACTTTCTGACAGTTATCAGATTTAAAAGTATGAAACATGAAAGAAATCATGAGAATAAGTGTAAATTTGCTTGATGTTTTTTGGGATGTGTCCTAGCAAAGGCCAGGACATTTCCATAATTTTTTAATTTTTTAGCCTTAAACTTCTGATTTCCGCTACCAGTGATTGTTTTTCCTCCCGCCTGTAATGATCTCTTTTGGTTTAATATAATATAGTATTTGCTACATTTAAAAGATTTTTATTTATCGTTCATTACATCTCACAGATGCAGATTTCACTTCTGTTACAGTATAATTATAAATGACAACAGCAATCTGTAAATTGGCTTGGAACTACTGTAGGAATACCTTAAGTGTACTGTGTATACACATAAACATTCATATACTCAGAATTTACAGTGATAAAACGAAATAATAGAAAATGCTTCTGCTATTCTACTTTTCACTATCTCTTCCATATGTCTTTTAGTTCTTTGCTTGTCAAAGATTAGAAAAGATACTCTGCTAAATATACTTATCCTTATGTGAACTGGCTTACATGTAATCAAGTGCTGCAGGAGATAAACATTGGCACTACTTAACACCCCAGTTAATAGAGAACTATAAAAGAGCACTAAAAGTTGTTAGTATAGTTATTTGTTTTAATCGTGTACCGCATTTTGACAGTGTGGCTACGCTACTGTAGTGGAGATTATTAGGAATAGTAAATTCCTTAGTGTTCTTATATATCTTATATGTTCTTTGAAAAATAAAAATAATAGGTCATTTGTGACTTGTTGCGAATTACAAATCCTGCTGGATTAATTAAAAAAGGTGATTTGGCATTATGTTTGACACCCATAATTGGCAATACAAGCTAGCACGCAGTGTTTAGCCTATTCTGTATGCCCGGCACAGTGGAACATATTCTATACTACATAGCAAAGCCAAATAATTTTACAAAAAAATGTTCTTATAGTGAAACTTAGAGTCTACAAAACATTCCAGTGAATAATAATGAATAAGTTCATATTTTTATGAAAAATTAAATATCTACAGCATATCCAGACACCCTTATTAGAAATGGTTGTCTCTGTAAGTCTCCAGACTCTCATGCAATAGTAATGTCACAAAATAGCTGATCTATACATTGACTGATGAGCTGGAAATGTTCTACTGTACATTTAAAACAGCAGTTTTACAGATTGACACACCGGTATGTTAAAAAAATGATTGCTTTTGGTGAGCTGCTAAATGTATAGATTGACTGGTTATTTTACATATTATCATATTTATGCAAAGTGATAGACAATACTAGCTACCTTTGAAAATGTATATAATAACAAATTCAATAAAATGTATGAAGCTTTACCTGTTAATAATTTATTTTCACTATATTGAGCACTGATTGCAAATGTGTATGTGCATATACAGTACATGTAATATACAGTATATATTAATACAAACATTATATGAAATTACGTCATCACCATTTCTTAATTCACTGATGGATGAAGCCCTCTCTAATGACTCCTGATACTTCTGATCTGATACTTTTGTTTTCTATGCCACTCCAGAAAAAGCATCTCATCTCATCCACTTATCCTCTTTGTGGTCTTATTGGTTGTTCCCTATATCCTCATTAAATAAAACAAGTCTAGCTGGGACAAAAAAAATAGTTTTTCTTTTTAGTTTGGACTACCGCTGCTGTTTCCTTCCTGCACTGTGTCCAACCAGCCAATTTTTTAGCTTTCAGTGATTGAAAATACTTTCTCTCAGAGCTATTTATATCCATCCATTTTCTAACCACTTCTTCCAGTTTTCTGTTGTGGAGGAGCCAGAGCCTATCCCAGCAAGCATCGGGCACACCGTGGATGGGACACCAGTCCATCACAGGGCAGAAAGACACTCACACTCACCCCAGGGCCAGTTTTCCCAGAAGACAATTAACCCACAAGTATACGGTGCCTTGCAAATGTATTCACCCCCCTTTTCAATTATTTTGTTTTTTATTTGTAATTAAGGAAAATGTCTGGATTTTTTTTCTGTTTGTCTTGATGAGTGGCAAAAAGTCTCAGTTAAAAACATCATGGCACCATGGCAACACAATAAAATGTGAAATAGTCCAGTGGGGGTGAATACTTTTGCAAGGCACTGTATGTTTGGACTGTGGGAGGAAACCCATGTGAACATGGGGAGCACATACAAACTTCATACAGATTACACCCAGGTGTTGAACCCTGCCCCAGCACTACAAGGCAGCAAAGTTAAACACTGTGTCACCCTCTATTTATATCCATTATTTATACATTTATATTTTTACATATAACAATTTTTATTCATAATACAGTATATAGTGAGTTTACAGTATGGGAAATTACTGAAATGATACATAAATCTAAAATACAAATAACATGATACATTCCCATCTTGTGTGTAACAATGAAGAACACAAATGTTATTCCATACTTATTTCTATTACAATACTATAGTTGTATATACTGTATATACTGTACAGGATGCGTGTACAGGATTATATGAATTTTTGAGGTTCAACTGTCCTGCACAGAAAGGAAGATTTTCTGGGAGAGATCTTAAATCAAAATTCCTCATCTAGCCCCTAAGCAATTTTCAATAAAATCCAATATTGCATTTGCTCCTTTAATTCAATTAAGTTAACATGCTAAGATTAGATGGCATTTGTAAGAGTACATTAGATTGTGAATTAACTAGAAATCTCCAGACTTCCAAGCAGACTTGGTTCTTTTTTAACAAGTGGTAGTTTGTGCAAAAAATTTTGAAATCTTTTAACTTTGCATGAAATTAATCATTTAAATTTGCTGTTTACTGCTTACTTTCAATATATTTATTCACAATTCTGTATGAATACTATAACAGACAGAAGAACATATTTGCATGTGCCATATTTAAACTATCTGAAAGTGTGTTTTAATTATTAATGAATGTCCCACACCATTTATTAAGTCTATGTTTTCATAAAATTGTCTGCCCGAAAAATTTGCAGAATGTAAAATATTGGCTCTCAAGAATATCTTAGTTGTCAAATGAATGTGTTATGTGATGTGTTAAATTAAACAATACAAAGTTATTTGTCAACTGGTGTCACATTTTCTTTTATTCTCATATATTGTAAAACCACCTGAACAAAATGCTCAGTTCAGAGATTCACCAGTTAATCCTAGTAAACTATTTAAATTGACAATTAACAAAGCCCATTTAAGGATTAAAGGTAATTCTTATTAAAAGAAGTGTGTAGTGTAAGCTTTGTGATTTCTATTGCTATTTTTAAAATAAAACCAAAAGCCATGTGCCCTTAAGGGTTTGCTTTAGGTAGATTAAGCTCTAAAGGTTGAAGTTCTCATTCTGATGAACTGGTGCCATTATATGTGTATACATATTATCCATGTTACATTAAAAAAAATCTTCACAGCAAGATTGCATATTATGTTTTGAGAAATCTGGAAAATATGGAAAACTATTTCAACATGTTCCAGATCTTGGGGAAAGGCTTTTTTTATGCATTTCTTTACACAACCTATTTTTATAAACTTTTGTGTAAAAAGGCTGTGCTCCAGAGGTTACACAGGTTTCACCATATCCTCATGATTTTTTCCTAAAGACAAAAAATTGACAGATACTATAGGTTTGTGGCAAGTACCTAAATCATATGAATTTACTGCTGAATTCCAGTTTTCCATTTTGTTCTGTCTGATTACAGAAAATGAATGGAAGTGCTTATTTAACTCTTAACCATAATGACTGATAAAAATGGAGGTCTAAATTATTGCTAAATTACTGGGAGGGTAGTAATTCTCCATGTCAGTTTGGAGTACTTTGACGAAAGAATAGTATTCTCTGTGAAGCTGGGATTGCAAAGAGCCCCAGCTGTATCTCCCCATAGTAGGCAAGATACTGGCCTCCTGGAGGGTCATGTGTCCTAATAATCTCAGATTATCTCTTGGTCTCATCATGGAGACTGTGTCAAAAGCATTTAGACACAGTACATTTGCCCTGTTAAAAATAAACTAGAAGTTTATTATTTTGTGTATATTAACAGCACAAAAAATGCAACAATAAGTATTGTAATCAATAGTATTTGCTGTGTTGTACTCTTATTATATACAGTATAGGCATATACCTGTAGTTCGTATAATTTAGCACGTAGATGATTGTGACAAATATATACAGGCATTCAACTACAGTATATAGTTCTAAAAGTAATTGCTAAGAGTGAAAGCTTTTCTGAACATAAAAGGATTCCTGTGTTACATAACAGCATCTGAGGAACAGAAGGCATTGCTTTTTCCCCCTTGATTGGCACTAATGGGTCCGTACATTTGCAGTACTTTACAGCTATGCTCATATTGTAAGGTGCAGATATGAACTTTATAATGGCCTTTGTCAGAATGTACCAATCTCTGGCTTGTTTACACACAATGATTAATTACATATTTAGTCTTTTTATAGTAATCTGAGTGAAGTATTACCATTTTCCTATTTTGTATCACTAGTCATCTGTGCCATCAGAAATTGATATTTAATAATGACTGTTTCACAAAACAAGAAAGCAGAACCATCTGAATCATCTGTTATGCATATACCAAGTCAAAACCTACACCTTTAGAAGGGCTCATCAGTGAGTTATAGCAGTTCCTCTATAGTGACTGCATTCTCCAATCAAAAGGTATTCATTGTAAAACAGAAAAGTGGAAGACCCTCCTTCCCCTCAGTCATTTTATATTTAAGTACAGAAATTCATTAGAAGTGCTACAGTACATATGTATACATATTCATATTTGAAGTGTATACTGAAACAGCATGCCTTACTATCATCCTACAGTATGTGCTATCTTCTGTCTGATCTTCAGTTCCTTCAGATCCTTGTGAAATCGGGGCAATATCAATGTAGATACAATCAAACCTCCTTTTGTATATTTTCCCTTTTTTCCCTTACCTTCCTGAGGCAAATAAAATCATCTGAGTGGAGTATGACCACGTACGCAGTATCAGCTGACACCAGTTCATTGCAAATGACATGGTGTTTAGTCCTGCATATGTAATAGTAGGGATTGAGCTTTTCTGTTGGAAGATACATGTTTTCGATAACAGCACAGCTGCCTTGTATCTAAGTGTTTGGGTATTTACAGACAGTTACCTGTATTACTTTGTATAGAGTAACCGGAAAAATATCTCCTTCATTCTGTTGCTTGTAACTTCCAAGGCATGTATATATTAACAAATCTGCACTTCAGATAATACCAAATGCAGATTATATTCACTCACTTTTACTAAAGAAAAACTTCAAGTAGGTTTTTTACAGAAATAGTTTTAACATTCACTTCTCATGGTCAATAACATCCTGCATAACATGTTGAGAACTGTATTGCAGCCACAGTTATTACTCTACAGTTATTACAGTCGATTCAGTTCAAGTCTGAAGTGCTGCTCAAGGTTTTTATTTTGAGGATAAAAGGCTGCTTCTTTGTTATGGGAGTCAGTGATGTCGAGTTACAACTTCTTGCTTTTGTTCTGCAAACCCCTTTGATGCATCAGATTTAAATGATTATCAATTTCTTGCCAAATATTTGCAAGGTAAACAATTGTTAGTTCACTCAATCAATTTAGACTCAACATGGTTTACTTGAAAATCTTCAAACCTAAAAAGGGAACCATTCACACTGGAAGAGAGGGGAGGCTTTGTAATATTTGAAGTTCTAAAATTAGAACACTTTCAGTGGTTTGAAGAGACTGGGATTCACATAAAACCTTTTCAGGGACTATGTAAAATATTATGCTATCCTGTCAGAAGGAAGGGTGACCTGTCTAGCCACGAACCTGGGTGTGGTTTCCTGTATTGGGTGCTAACAAGCAGCAGAGCTTGAGATACTAGAAACCAGCCACAGACTGGAATCACAAGCTGAAAATGACACTGAAGCTGTTTTTATTCTAGAATAAAGAATGTACATTGAAGGCTGTGAAAAAACACCATGATGCAGGTGGATATGGGGAGCTAATTACTCACTGTGAACCTTTTGATTAGTGGGTTATTCTGAATAACATATAAATGATCACTTACATCATTGTCCTAATTACAGAAATTCTGCATAAGTTCAAAAATAAGATTTTGTTTTCAACACATGCTACTTTACCTTTTGGTCACACCATTTGAAGCATCACCTATTAAGTAGCAATTTTGCAAATACTGAGCTATGTAGTCATTCATTGTATTACTACATTAGCTTGCAGCTGGATGTTAAGAAATGATATATAACTCCTATTTTGAAGATTGTGTCCAAAAAGGGCTAATGGGATGTTTGTTAATCATAAACACTACAGTTCCTGAGCATTTATCCAGTGGAGCACTTAAGGGAAAACATCACTTAAGAATTTGCTAGCTCCTATTTTGAATTGAGGATTGCATTCACAGACCTCATTTGCAGCTTAAAACTCATGTATAATGACTTTTACAGCTCCTGTTCTGGAGGAAACACTTTTATTAAGGGTTAAGATGTGCTATCATTCTATAAATACCCACATTCTTAGGCTTTTTTTGTGAATGTTGTCTATATACTGTTTGTACTTCCTTAACTGGCATTGCAAGAATGTTAATTTAAAAAAAAATGTTTCATTGCATTACTCTTTTACATCACAACTCTTGGAAAAATATATTTTTAAACCCTTGTGCGTTGTTTTCCTTCTTCAAAATATCTTTCAAGATGACACTTGTTATTTTTTTTTCACGAGCACTATCTAATGATACTTTGTTTTGTTCTAGCCATGTGACTCAGACAACGTCATGGATTCACCCAGTGACCAGCAGCCTCAGCCTCCCTGAAAAGGAAGGAGACGACATGACCAGAGATGCTCCTGAACACAGGAGCTAACCTGTAAACCAGAGTTGTTATTAGGTATTTTTTTCCAAGTGCAATCCAATTGACCTGCCTAATGCCACAAAGCTAGAAAAAGAAATGGTCCCAGCAACCACGGTTGTATTTTCTCTTATTTAGGTGCAGTTTAGTAAATTGTTGTTCCACTTCGTTTCTAGCTTTGCTATCTTTGCTTTGCTAGCGTTCTAGCTTTGTGGCTTTGTGATACTTACTGTAGATCAAGTATCAGCATTCAAAAAAGTAACATGGAAAACCTATGATTGGAGAGATCTCGCAGCAAAACTTGATGTGAAAGTTTCACAGATGTGTATACGGCTACATTTTTAGATCACAGAAAATGCTTTATACATTCTCCTTTATATCACAGTTTTACATTAATCCAAAATAATGTTATACATCTATCCATTTTAATTATGTTAAATCCACAGTCTTTTTTAAAAAAAGGACATACCCAAGTTGCCTTCCTTTTTCTGTCTTTTCTTGTAGACATCTTATTTGTGAAAAAGAGGAAAATGTTCAGACATTCAAGCTACCCAAGCAAAGTCAGAATTCATAAGCGCTTTGATGTACAAAACACAAAAGCAAAAAAGCTGTAAGGAAGGAAGAACAAACCCATCTTTGGATTCTGCAGTTTAAGAACTTAATCAAAGCACTACCAAGAGAAACATACCAGCTTCTTTTTATGTAATCAGGTTTACTAAACTACAGCTTTGAACTCCTTTTGACTCTACTCACATTTTGTACTTTAATTGTTTTTTGAGTCATAATAGGAAACCATATAACAGTAACAAAGAACTGCTGCCAAATGTGACATTTGTTTGATTTCCACTTCTAAAAATAAACACTGGCTTGTTTTTTTTTTAACTCTTTTCAATTAAATTTATGTTGGAGGAAGATATGCCTTGTATCCACAGTCAGAAAAAATGTATTATTGGATTACATACTGTACAGCTGTCATTGTGGTGTTTCAAATTTAGCACTCGTAAATAGGAATTTCAGATTCAAATTAAGAGACTCTCTACTAGATAAAACTGAACCTTACCAAAACTACTCTGACAGTGAATCACTTCTCAGTGCTGTTTTTGACTGTTGCACTGCAGTGTTTTTTTTATTGCAGCTTTCTTAGAATAATAAAAAATAAACAAGGCTAAAAAAGTACAGGTGGAAAGGTCGACAAATGTAGAAGCTATAGAAAAAGTTACAGTTTTCAGTTAATAGTTTTCCTTTCTTAACCGTTGTATGGAGTCTTGATTTGTTCCTTCATCCTCTTTCTTTTGAGAAGTCATTTCTTGATGTTGCCATTATAATGATGATTGTAGATGGTAGTGGGTTGTATAGGACTCTTGTGTCCTGTTTTAATATACTCTACTACACGTCATTTATTTTTGCTTTTTTAGAAGTATGCTTTTAAAAATGTGGAGTAATGCCTACCAAAATGTACTGAATAAATCAAGTACGTTATGTTTAATCTGGTCTGTATTAGAAGTTTTTTTTTCATGAACCTGTACAGAATTAGGTGATATGTAAAATATTCAACATTATCTCTGGATTACACCCCTCAGTTCAGTTACAGACCTGGGGTGCTATCTGCATGTATTTTGTACAATCTCATCTTGTTTGCTTGGGTTTCCTCAGGGTGCTCTGTTTTCCTCCACAATCCAAAGACATACTGTTAGGTTAACCAGCCTCTGGGAAAACTGGTTCTGGTGTAAGTGTGTGTGTCTGTGTCTCTGTCTGTGACTATCTGCCCTGCAAGGGACTAGTGTCCCATCCAGGCTGTACCCTGCCGTGCACCTGCTGCTTTTGCTTTCCAACATAAATTCTGGCTCCCCTGCAACCCTGAATTGAAAAAAGTGTTTAGAAACAGATTGACAGATGGATCTTCAGTTGACATCAATTATAACAATAACATGCCACATATACATGGGACCTCTGCAAGGGATACCAAACTGTACAGTTTTGTATAACTGGTAGAGCAACACTGTAGAACCTTAGTGCCATCTTGAATCCCAGAAAACTCCCACATGCTGATGAGGAACTTGTTCGGCTTTTGGATCAGTTCAGCCAGGCTGCTATACTGGACTGAATTTTTTTCCTTAAAGCCCAACACTGCTGAATTAGCACTTCCTGCATTTTCTTCTCTCTCCAAACCCCATGGCATTTTAGATGTACATTTTCAAAAACAGCAAGTTGACATATTTGGGATAGGAAATACGTTTGTGTATATGTATTCTTAAATGTGTGTGTATAATTGGAACCATTGTGTGGTTCAGGAAACAGAATTAAAAGAAACAACATTTTTTTGTACTTAAAAAACAGGTAAGCAGGAAACAAATAATTCGATACACATGGTGTTAGTAGATTTACTGGAAACTTCTGGAAGAATAAAAGGACATTTCTCCAATAAGTGCAGGCTTATGTATTTTCTAAAAGTGAAACAGACTTTAGAGAAATAACTTTGTTTTCTGTCACTCAGTGGGCAGTCTGAAGTTACTTAACATTCCAACATGCATTTCTTATTGTGGTACTTACTCTCTAGATGTCTATAACGGTCTTCTTGTTGTATTGGTCCAAACCTAGGAACAAATCAAAATGGATAAAAAAACTGTTTAACTACTGTATAACTGATTTTTTTTAAACCACAAGTTGTATACATGCACATCATAGTGACGTGTATTAAGTGTACTTGAAATGGATTTACAGTAGTAACATCACACAGAAAGGGCTTTTTTCTCTTTCTGTGCAGTGTTACTGGATATACATACATTTTCTTCTGTTCATGGTCTTATAAATGTAAAAACAATACTGATGTTTCATATTTTAATATATATAACAAAATAATTTATACAACAATTTTAGTGAGTCTTACAGGACTGGAATGTGGTGATGATCATCTCACAATCCCTTTCTTTCTATTTCAAAGAGGTGTCCTCTTCAATCTGTTGAAGGACTGAAAATAAAACTATGTTGCCAAAACAAGCAATCATTCAGTGAAAGAGAATACCCTGCAATAATTGATTGTTGTCTTGCAGTTTAACAAGAATTCCATTCAGTACTGTTCCAGCTTCCAAGATGAATTTGACTACATAGAAAATCAAATAATTTTTCCACTGACTGTACATATACTGATCTTTCTTGAAATAACTCAGATATTTTGAGATGAAGAGTTTGACTGATTTACCAATTCTTCCCTGTACTTAAAGCATAAGGCCATTACAAAAGACTGAAGATTTTTTGTTTGAAAATGTGCCAGCATGAAGCATTGTTCGATGAGAATTGAACTTTTGTTTGGCTAAAGATTTGTAAGGAAGAGCAGTTCGGTGCAGTATATTTAGATAAGTCATCTGATCCTTTTCTTATTGAGGCCAAGCACAGCTGTAGGCTCTCTGAATCTTTCATGTAGCACCAAACAAACAGCCTTCTTTTCATAGATTGGACTGCATAGAGGCCATCTAAGGAATGGGCTGTAAAAACATCAACTTGGGAGGAAAACTATTGGTAATGTTCTATGTTGACTGTCTTCAGGAAGGCTTTAATACATGTTTCCCAGCCACCAGCATATTGATTTTTATAACAATTTTTTCTCATTCAAGTTATTTCAGTTTAAATTAGCAGCGTGTTTAGGGTTATTACCATGCTCACATGTAAGTTAAATCCTGGGGAAACTGGGTGATGACAGAGAATGGAGATGATACTGCACCAGTAACAACCCCAAATCTTAATTTAAAAGGTTTCACCTCTGCCTCTAGGTACTGCATTTACTACCAGTTTTTAGTCTCAAATTCTGTTTATTCCTTACAATGAATCATGTATCTGTAATACTCTTTTCTGTTAATCTTTTCATCAATGTGTATGGTTTAACGTCCATACTTAATTTTTTGCATGTTCTCCTCATCTCAGCAAAAAGAAAATGCGCTTCAGCTCTCGCCATCAAAAAAGTTTCCTGAACATGTCTATTTCCTTTGATACAGAAAGATTCAATGTGAAGTACAAATCAGCAGCAAGCAAGTGCTAGTTAGGAAATTATTATCATTGGAAAACCTAAAACCATTTTCATAAGCATCAGTTATATACAACAATTATAACTGGACTTTTATGGGAGTGTTTAATACAGTACAATTTCCACCTGTAACTGGACATCACTAATTAGTCACCTATTAACAGTTGTTTAGCCAGGAAAAAGACAGCAAACACCTAATTAGCAAGTTCTACACATCTGTGTACATACAGTATAACAAGCTAACAAAATGAAAAATAAGACCAGCACATGCTGGAAGACCAAGATCAGAAACAGTACACAGACAGTGTGGCCATCAAGCTCCATGGCTAGTGTGAACAGGAAAGACAACCAAACCACAATGCCATTCTGAGAGCTATGGTCACACCGAAGAATGCAACTGGGAGCTCCGAGACCAAAGATGATGTTTAAATAGGTGTCTTGAGTCTTGAGCATGTGCTAAAGGAGGTAAGGGAGTAAGCAGTTGTGACTATTGTGGGAAGCAGATTCCACCACACAGTTCACTACAAACATGCAGCAGAATATTTTTAAACCAAGCCAAGAGATTCAATTACCTCAGTGATCAAGTGCTCAGAACAAAAAACAAAAGACACAAGTGTTATATAGGACCAAGGCTTAGAACCGCTAGCCAATGTCATAAATTAACTATCTTACTACTAGGATTAATGGGTGTTTAATAATCACAGAAGCAAAATTTGTTTTATGACACTTTGGGAATTTGTTGAAAATAAGTAAGACAATATTTACATCTGGTGCTGTAGGTGTATGTTCTGTAATTTATACAATGCTTGTCATCCCAAAGCATTTCACATAAAGGAAGGGGTCCTCTTTATTCATCACTGAAACACACACAAGGTTCTGTCCTACCAGGTTAGAATTAGTCAGCCATGTCTCTCTGTGTCCCCAGTGAATGTGAGTCCTATTAATGTCTAGGTAGCAGCTTTGATAAAGAGGCATAGGACTATGAAACCAAACTGTTGGTTAATACTTTGAAGCCATGGCCGGAACCTGGGAGTACTCATTGTTTATTTAATCTCACTTGGCTGATATAAAATATAATGTGGTGAAATGTAATTTTTCAAAATTTAAAGGATTAAATAAAAAAAATGTATACTCTCCAGGAAGGGTAATGGTACAATAAAAGACAGCAATGACGCCCTGATGTCCTGCTAGCTGTGGCAAAAAGCTTGATGTCTAATATAAAAGGTAAAAATTAATGCTTAAAAGTAATCTTTCACCATTGGCTCTAAGTGCAATTTAGTTGCTTATTCACCACATTTCAGTAAATAAAGCTATCTTCACCCCATATGTGCCTTGCACCACGAGTCTGAAACTATATTTACTCCAACTAGACCCTTATTTTGTGATATTTCTAATGTTAAAGTGTTGTCCATGCCTCTGGACACATTTGCTGCACAGCACTAACAGTATTTTCTGCTATAATTGACTGTTATCCTTTGTGTTCAGCAAGGTTCAGCTACAATAAATGAACCCATGAAATTGAACTACAGTAGATGAAGGAAAACAGTCATGGGATTGAGTGTCCTACATTTCACCTGTGTGAACCACGCATGCTTGCAGTGACATCACTACGGGACAGTCCTCTCCTCCAAGCAAAACTAGACCTACTGTTCATTGCTGTAGACATTGTAGTTTGTCACTGAGGACTCTAAAATGCCCAATAAATGTCCAGATAAAATGTCCAAAATTGCATTATGGTTAATAGATTTTAAATAAACAAAGACCAATCTGAATACTATCAAATGTACAAGTAAAAGGTTTATTCCATGCTGAAAAGACCAGAAAGAAAACACAACGTTTCGGCCGTGGAGCCTTCTTCAGGTGTGAAGAAGGCTCACACATGAAGAAGACTTCACGGCCGATACGTTGTATTTTCTTCTCTTTTCAGCATGGAATAAACCTGTTACTTGTTCCTTTGAAGCCTACGCATGCTGACGCAGCTACCCACCTGAACTACTATTTTTCTATGAAAAAGTAAAATTCCACTTTTTTCTTGAGCCTAGTAGTTCCACATCATCTTTAAGTATTGAGGTAATTAAATGCAGTTCTTCGTTTTGAAAAAAAAAAAGGCTTTTTAACAGAAATAACAGACGAAGACGCCTTGCATCTGCAATTAACGTGTGATCATTTGAAAGGACTGGAATTAATTTATATATCAACATTCAGATGGACTTTGTATTACATTAAACATTTCAATTTAAACCGCAACATTAACAAAAATAACCAAAGAACCTACATATTTTAGTAAACAGGATTTTTAAGCTTTGCAATATCAGACCAACACATTATCCTTGGATCATCCCGAATTTGACACTTTAGCGGTATCCTGACTAAACATCAATCAAACTGGCAAAAATATTTATATACAGTAAACATATCTGCGGGCATAACGAATACACAAACATTTAAGACTAAGCAGAAACAGGCAA